TTTTTTTTTTTTTAATATAACTTGCTGGGCATTTTCTTGGAGTGTGGAAGTTTTGTTACTAGGAAAGGTCTTGTCAAGATGAGGTTGGGAGACAGGTATTTAACAGAGTGGTTTTTCTTAGCTGTAAGGGTTTATGCTGTTCTTTTCTTGGTTTTAGTGGAAACACGGCAATACCTTGGTTGGTTTTATTAGGTGTTTCGCTTTAGAGGCTGTTTTTCTTGTGTTTGCAGCATTTTTTTTTTAAGAAGTCGCGTTAGAAGTTTGCTCATAACAGTCAGAGCAGGAGCGGTTTTATCATTGAGATATTAGATCTTTAGTGATGCACGGCATACTTATTTCTTGGATAAGAAATTAGCTTTAGATCAAGCATCACTGGACTTTAGGAAAGTGTTGTACAGCACTTTCTTCTGGTACCCGTCTTTTCCAACTAGTTTTAGTGCATCATGGCATATTTTGCAGAAATATTTTTGTGCCCAGATGTAGATTGATTAAAGGGTTGTTTCGTTCAGCAGTGTATTTCTAAGCAATCATGTTAATCACTTTCATGTTTCTCATTTTTTATTCGACGTTGATGGCTACCATTTAACTTTTTTTAATTGTATTTTGCTGGATGAAATGTGGTCGCGTAATGGGATTTTTTGGTCTTTTTGATCCTCTTATGGATGGCTGAAATTTTCTTGTATCTCTAAAGCACTTAGGGTAGTTTCTGTGGAATATTTATTAGTTGTTTTAATGCAGTGAGTCGTGTTTTTCTAGCTCAGATTATTAAAATTGTTCAGACTGTTCATAGTCGCCTTTAATTTGTTATTGAAGTGGGAAATAGGCATTTATGAAAGCTCTGATGATGGATTGGATGAGAGGTAAATTTTACATCAGTAGATTACTTCTTTCTTGAGTGCAATGAGTTTTCTCACTCAGTTTTTCCTCGATATTGAAGCAAAGTTTCGTTCTTTACTTTATGCAGCATTCTTGTAATAGATAATTTGTAACAATGGTGCGGAGTAAATTAGATGGGTGGAGCATCATATTTAACGGACGTGGGTTACTTGTGGATAATGACTTGGGATTACTAGATGCTCAACGACTTTTGACAGTTTTTGGTCTTTTTATTATTTTCTTTTATTTAATTCTCTACAGAAACATTTTTTCAAACGGACAGGATGGTTGAGAGGTATATTCGAAAACTGTCAATTATGTAAAGGTATATTTGATACCGAAAAGACACCTTTGAGTAATAGGTTCCAATAGTTTTTTTTAGTTTGTTTGCTATTACAGTTAATCTGGTGGCAAAGGTACTGAGGGCACTATAGGGGCCGCAGTCGTCGGTCAAAGCTTAGTTTTT